TAGGTTTAGACATGGTGCATCGGCCGGGAACTGTCCGTTTAGTGTGACATCGGACAGTTCCTGGGAGCCATTTGCCCCTCCACAAAAAAAAGGCTCCGTGGCCCTAGTATTATTCTTGTTTCCCCTTCATTTCAGATGTTTACTCTCAGTTTTGGTGACTTATCTTCTCACATCTCAAATGAAAAAATCCTCTCCGGAGGCAATTCGTCGCGCCCAAAGCCTGATCACCTTTTCGGGCGCAGCGCATGCCTTTCACCTCTTTCGTCCTATTGTCAAATCTTCATCTTGTCACTCTGCAGTCAAAAAAAAGACCTAAAAAGGTCAAATAGAGCTGGTGTCTCAAAATAAACACCTAGAGAAGACTACTCGAAGTAAAAGTCTAGGGAAGGCTACCCGAAACAAAAGTCTAGGGAAGGCATACCCAAATTAAAGCCTAGGGACGTCAACCTGAAATAACTGACTTCAAAGGGAATCGTGTGATTCCTTGAAGAAAGAGCAATAACTGTCTGGAAAACGGACACGCTCAAGTATCTACCAAGAGGCCAAACAAAACGTCTTAACGCGGTTCTCAGTACGGATCACTTCCTTTCCTTTCTGAGAATCACGTGGTCCCTTGTTGCCCTCATACCAATCGCAACGACGGCGATTCCCATGCCATCGGTACTTTACAGTAGATTTCAGTCATTCTCAAAACATCGAACAGAACAACCCTTATCTGTTTTCATTATCTAGTGTTTGACGTAACAACGCAAGAATCAACAAAAAACCCCGCCTTCCAATACATTCCTGAGCCTTTCATTGCAATATCGCGCTTCTACAAAAATCTCGGTCATTTCTTTCATCGAAGGATGGCCCACCGATGACAGACTTTAGTCTGAAGACGTGGAAACAACGCCTTACACGTCAATTTAACGAGCTCACCAACTTGAACGCAGAAGGAGAAAGGTATAAGGAACCCTGGACCTTTCCCACGAACAAGCTCGAACTGGTCAAATACATATTGTCGAACAAAGCATTACTACAGAACCTGATCACCCGGACCAAAGAAAAAGAAGAGAGTCTCATGTCAGACTACTGTTCCTGCGTAACAGCTCTTGATGAAATCAAATATGAAAACGAGGAGCTGGGCACATCTTTGGAATCACAGCTGGACAGCTATTGGGGAGAGAAACAAGCCGAACAAAAAATGGACCACAGCGCTCAATTGAGAAGAAAGTTGGAGATTCGTCTTATTGAACTAGAGTGCCAAGAACAGTCCTTAGCGGACCCCGAACAAAAACCTGACATCACGACATCGAAAGACACAAATTCAAAAAGATGTTCATCCTTATTCCAAGCGATTTCGAACGAACCTGCAATCGAACAAAACACAGCAACAGGTGCAGCAAGCACATCCTTTACCAATCCAGGAGGGGGACCAGTCCGTGGACCCCTTGAGACTCCTAAATCAAGGATCTTCTTCATTGATGCGTTACTTGTTCGGACAAGAACTACGAGTGCCGGATTTTTACGGCAAGCCTGGGGAGTTCGACTCTTTCTGGGAGATATTTCAAGAATTGGTACATAACCAACCATACTCAAATCTTGAGAAGCTCTCCATACTTTTGGCTTCGTGCAAAGGAGATGCAGAAAGAGCACTGAGGATGATTCCCAGGAATGGCAGATCATACGAACTTGCAATTCAACAACTCAAGGCGCAGTATGATGACACTCGTCGTAACAAGACATTGTTACTGCGGAAACTGCAGTCCTTGCCCAAATGTGGGGAAGACCCAAGGCAATTACAAAACACCTATAACGATATTTTAGCACTAGTTGCAGAAATGAAGAGACAAGGTGAAGCTGTAGATAGCACTAATTTGTTACAAACAGTGCTCAATAAATTCTCCAAGGGTATACAAGAGGAAGCAGCAAAAAGAGAGTATGACTCGAACAAAATTTGGTCCATGTCAGAACTCCTAGATAATCTTGATACTATAGTTAAAAGACGCATTCATGTTAGCTTCATGCAGAATAAGGACCTTGGATCGAACGACAGTTCAACCGTACTTCACATACGAACAAATACAAACAAACTTTGCTGCACGGGTTGCAACGAACCTCATCGATTCGCCAACTGCAACAAATATCGAACAAAAGAGACAAACTGAACCGCCTGAGGCAGTTGAAGGCATGCTCTATATGCTTCAGCAAACGACATCAGACGTTTGAGTGCCATAAACCTAGATGCCAGTACTGCACGGGACCGCACCACTCAATTCTATGCTATCAACAAGATGTTGCTGCGGCACAAAGATGGTCCAGGAAATCGACATATACTCACAGACGTACGTATTCGCCAGTTCCTTACAATCGTCGTAATATGAGCGAGTCCCCTAGACGGATGTCACCGCTACCTCAGACGAGCCGCAACAATGGAGGCTTTCGACGTTTCCGAACACCAACCCCTCACAAACGACACAATGTCGCCTTTCGACGCTTCTCCCCTACAACAGGCTACAGTGGTAACAAATTTCCTCCTACGCATGCTTCTCCTTCCGCAGCGCAGCGCTCACGGTCAAGTACCCCACCTCGGCGTACATATTCTAATTACGACCAGCCTTACCGATCGCGCAGCGCGTCCCCCCACCGCTCGCAATCACCAAGTTCTCCTAGTCGTCGGACTCACAATCGCGTAACATTCGTTAATTACGCCACTACCAACAATAGTCATAATTTCGAGAATCCGCACAATACATGAGCATCACTGCTTAGAAATACGCATCACTGGAGAGCATCACTGCTTAGAAATACGCAACTCAGATGAGAATATAACAGTACAGTTTCCACCAGATATTGTCCTACATCAACACATGGTACTCCTGAAAACGAGACGAACCAATGAAACGAACACAGTGCAACTCAGATGTCCAGCGAGTCCCTTCTGCGAACAAATCAAATGCAATTTTTGCACGGTTATGATTACGAACCCACATTGTTGGCCACGTACGGCAATCGCAGTTACAGCAATGGGGCTGTATACGATTTTACTCATAGCAGCGATTGCAGCACTCTGTCTTAAAAAAATGTTGCAGAGCTTTTTACAGCAAAATACACAGATGTTGCAATCCATTCAAACGAGTCTTACACAGTTGTTACCAGAGGCTGTCGGAGTTAGGTCAGACCCGAACCGAAAACGTACCGCTGGTCGAGGTAACATCCAACAGACACAGCAATTGGAAACCATCCACCTTAGTACGCGTTCTAGCAATATCTTCTATTTCGGTTTCCCTTCAAACAGTGTTCGCGTGTCAACAAACGTTCCTCATCGAATCAAACATCACTCAATGCGACCAATTCAATAAATCATGCCGAAACAAACATGAAATTCTCCTCAAAATCAACACTCTGCAACCACAAGCATGCTTACGCATTCAAAAAGGCGATACTACCATTTCTCAAATCAAGATTACACTCAATGAGGTCATTAAAAGATGCAACAAAGAAACACTCTATTATACAAGAGACACGGAAACCCGAGTTCAGCACAGCAAACGGTGCCCTCACATGGGGACCTGCTCAGGCCTTAAATGTGCACAAATACACCCAAACTCACTAGTGGAAGAGCTCGCGACCGCAAATAAGTACATAGGAATTACGTACTGTACGGAGTCATGCGGAGGTATTGGGTGCTCGTGCGGGTTCCCCTCATCCGGTTGCTTATTTTATAGAGTGTACCACGTACCAGTCAATGATGCGGTGTACGAAGTGTTTCACTGCCCCACATGGAATGAAAAAGCAAGCATAACATTCGAACAAATGAACTGGGGTGCCAGATCCTTTATCCAAACCGTCGAACTCAAGCAAAACGTACAAAAACGGTTAGGACGAACAAACGTACAGCTTGCGATGCTTGAATCTGCACATATGCCTGTTTTGTCGGACCGCTTTATACGAGGCCCGGGCTACCTCGCCAAGCTACAGCATCACGATAGCTTCAGCTATGCATGCTGGGAGGATACGGGCAACCCCACCAACAACTTGAACACAACGCGATGTTCTATACGTGACACGTGTTCCTGCAAACCGGCAGAAGACAGCATAAATTGCTACTGCACGCACAACAACGTTTCGAAACTAGCTATAAACCAAATTCTGCCCATCAAATTCCCAAATGCACACATCCAGGGAGAGGGGCAAGATGCTATAGTAACACTACGAACAGTAGAGGCGTCGGCCGAACTCCTCATAAATTTAGACTTGAACATAACAAACATACTCACGACTGTTGACGATTTCAAATGTGACATACCTAGTGCGTCCATTCAAGGATGTTACAACTGCATAAGAGGAGCTATAACATATATAACATGCACCTCTGACATACCAAAAGTTTTAAGCGAAATCACATGCGAGTCACAATCATTCGTAGCAATCTGCTCCCCCCGAGGCCATACGAACGAAATTCGTTTTTACTCCAATAGAGCGTATTTCAAGGAAACTTGCCAGGCACGCTGTGGCAAAACCGAGCACATTTTTTCAATATCTGGCCAGTTGCATTTTGTAGGGGGATCTCTACCGATCCATAGACTCATCTCCATAAATAGCAATGGTAGTACCAACTCAAATAACTACCTTCACTTGGATTTTCCCGATATAGAACATTTCTTCGCAATCGTCAGTCGATATTTCTTCTTTTCTCTTTGCACACTGACGATTCTCATAGCTGCCCTCGCCTTTTCCCTATCAGTCCTACGATCAAGCTCGAACCCAAGCACACAAAGAAAAGGACAGCAGCTCAAAACATTACACTGTGCTTACCATTCCCTTTCCTTCTCGCTATCAAAGTCATTCGTCGAATCCTTCACCTCGTATTACGCATACCAACCCTCTTGCTCCAATTGATCCTTCGCTGTTTGCAACTCATTTAACCCTTGTTGTGTCGCTTTATCGTTTTATCAATTTTGTATCGTTATAGACGCATTGCGACCATATTCAAAAAAAAACAACACAATTTCAGGATGTCCGACCGCAAAGACATCGTCGAACAAGACAGCGAAATGTGCGTTGACCACACAGAAGACGTCGAAGACGAATTAAAAATTGCCGAAGAAGAGAAGCAAGGTTCATCTCAAATGGATCCACCCTCGTCACGGCCACCAACTACGGCATTTGTGCAAGGAGTGACTGCGCAACAAATGCCCTCAGCAGCTCCGGTTTTGTTTGTGCCTCCGCAGATGTGCGCCCCTCCGCAAGTCGTTTGTCCGGGGATGCAAATAATGCAAACGGCAATGGCGACGATCCGGCAGGAGATCAACGAACTACGCAAGGAAATCAAACTTCATCGGGTAAATTTCTCGAACTCTTCATAACATTATCGAGTTGCATACACCATACATTTAAGCAAGAACGCAAGCGCAAACGTGCTGAAAAAGAAACTCACATCTCGCGCAAAAAAATGAAGGTAGCTTTTAATGTTCACTTCCCAAGATAAATGCCTTAACCTTAATTTAGGGCTCCGTAGACTATTTGGTCGACCACTTCGAAGACTGCATACTCACGGCAAATGCTAAGCCAGAACGGATCTCACGTCGCGGCTCAAGTCACCTTCAAAGAAGAACCATCCACGTCCGCCAGCTACACCGCACCTATGCAACTCCAGCCCGTTGGTGCACCGCAGATCCCGTCCACGTTAGCACCTCCGCCAGCGACCATCTCCATACCGCCAATTCAAGCTTCCTATTGTTTCGAGCGTTGTCGAACATGTTCCAAAATTCAGAAACATTCCGCCGAGCAATTGTCTTTTTTGTAACGAGCATCATTGGTCCAACACATGTTCGAGGTTTCCCTCTCTGAGTTCGCGTCGCCGCAGGTTCCTCGAACTCAATCGCTGCGAGCGCTGTTTTGGCCCGGCCACTCATCTGGCCACGGCATGTCAACCGAGAAGCGATATCGCTATTTTTCTGTAACAGGCCTCGATAGCGGCTTCTGGACATTTGTCGACGCCATCATACCGTTATGTGTCCTTTCAATACCATAATGAATCGGATGAGGACAACGGACCTGAGAGAAAACACAACAACAAAAAAGAACACAAACACGAACGAACATAAACCAAACTTTTTTTTTCGAACACTTTCATTTTTCATTTAAACTCAAGGAAAACTTTTTTTTCAAATTCGCTTATCTTCATATTACACATTCCAATGCCACAAGCGGATATAGCCGACGCGCAATGAAGTGAAAAAAATCATGACGCGATGATGATAAAACGGTAAAAATAGAAAAAGAACCGACCGAGCGTCATTGAAACGTCACCCTGCTCATCATTACTTTTTTCAGTGAGAACGCGTCCCGCGCACTAACGGCTACGTACCTCCAGACTGATCAACGTTGTCTCGGATCGCTTGTTGCCGTTGGCTCGAGCCTACCGTGCGCAACACCTCCAGTTCACTGCTTAAATCACTTACGTTGGATTGATTGATGAATTTTGTAGTTTTTGATGTGTAGCGTGATGTTTTTACCATGTAAAACCTCTGCCTTATCCGTCATATCACAGTTTGACGTTTACCTTTTTTCACCTTTTTTTTCTCGCTGGCCGGAGTATCGTGACTCATCACGATGTTCGGAGAAGGGGCGGTACGGAGCGTGGAGCAAGACGCTTGGCTTTTAGCTTCGACCGTAGGCAGCGAGCGAACGAACGAACAACAAGACGGACGCAAGCAGAGGGTTGATTGATCTACACTATGTCGGTAAACGGATGAAACAATAAACGTGAAGTCAACCTCATTGTTCTGTACCGATGCAAGAAAGCCACCGTCTAAACATAGGTTTAGACACCAGTGGCGATCGGGTAAAGATCGATTTAGGGAGAGAGCAACCAATGATGGAAACGCCGTAGGTGCAAGATGCTGATTGCGACCCAGGGTACGCCATCGTTGTGATCATCACAAGGGGAGGGGGTCGTATTTGACCGCGAGGGGGGAGCGTATTTGGTCAGAGAAAAATTTTTTTGATAGTTGATTTCTCTTGTTTCACTGTAAAGGAGGGGGGTTGTACTTGGTCGTTTTTGGAAGGAGGGGGTGGTAGTATTTGGTCAGTCCAGGGATGCACTACTATTTCCGACACTTGAAAATGATAGTTTAATTCTGACGACCCCCGCCCCCCGCTCGACGGCTCGGTTCGATGAGGAAGGACAGAGGGCTGGGAGGGGGGGGGTCGTACCAACTCCCAAAAAGGGGGTCGTATTTTAGTATGGAATTAGGGGGGGGGTCGTATTTGAAATGATCACAACGCGATGGCGTACCCTGTTGCGACCCGACAATTGCAGTGATATAAAGTGTATTTGACTGTAATCAACCGTATACTACTATGATATCTCCTTGTTGTCCATCAACGTGTTCACATCTTTTAGCTGCTTCCTATAACGGAAGCAGCTGGTTCGGGTGTTCCTTCGGAAATGGGATTATCACACATCAACGTCAGACTGATAGCCTTATCAGGTAATGCTCATAATAAATGCTGAGCGACCTCCATTCAGTAAAATCAGACTTGCAAAAATCGATAGCTTGTATGGAAAGAGCTCACTTGTATGGATCCATTTTTTCCATGTGGGACTAAGCTGATCTAATAAATCCTTGATGGTGATTGGCACTACAACATGATCCATTGAAAAGTTTCTGAATTTCATGCATTTGAAACTGTTTCTAGAGAATTTTTGCAACTTTTGTTAACTACTTTCTATTATTTTAAGTTTCTATAAAAAAAGCAGAATTGGAATCTTGTCGATGTCGTTTCCTCTTAGGAAAGTTACGTAGTTACCAGGATGCTTAGCAGCACTCCTCGTAGAGGGGAGTTGGGTGTGCCCTTTGCGCTTCCTTTTGGTGCTCCTCTCTTCTTCTTTATCTTCTCAGACAGGGGCGCACCAATAACGAAAGCGGTATAGTGGATACGGCTCCGCCTTGAGGGAATTTGCTGTCACGACAAGTGTGCATTTACGTAAAAAATCCATGTAAAATACTGTTCGCAGTTTCACTACCAGGAACAATGCTGGAAAACCTTGAGGTCACTTCGAGATGAGATTGCATTTTCCTAAAAATCGTAAAACCCTAACAAGATTAGCTCCTGAAACGGTAGCCAGAATGGTACACGAAGGGTTAGCTGCTTTTTCAGAGACTACGGTAAAGTAACCAATGAAAAAAGTGTCGAAAGATAAAAAATGCTCATAGAAACCAAGTTCCGCTTTTGAATCTTCACGTATCTCATACTCAAAAAGGCATTTTTGTAGAGTGCAATTTCCAATGAGATTTTGAGAAGCCTGTCGAGTTGGAAGCACGCGACAGGTGCAGAGTGGACCTCCAATTGGTGCTCATTAGCAATCCACCAATCATGGATGGACTAAATGCACCGCATTCTCAAAGTCAGACGGCTGCACTCGCCACAACAATTCACTTTAGGCCATCCCAGCTCTTGCTGTTGTCAGAAAGAAATATTTCACCCAGCATTAGGCGAAGGAACAATTAGGTATAGCTCAAAATCCGCGATATAAAAAAAATAATATTCATGGTTGCGACAATCCATAAAGAAAAAG